GCCCTTAGCTAGAATCTTTTTAACTCTTTGGTTATCTAGTGTTGGCAACTTTAAGATCATATTTAATCTTATATCAATCTAAAACATTTCTGTAAGATAATGAAGCGAAGAAAGGAATATCAGTATCAGACACCCAAACAACTAAATAAATACGGTAGTTGGAAAAAAAAAGTATATGAACTAATTCTTCAAAATATTTCTAATTCTGTCCAACCACTTTTGCAATTCAAATTTGTTTTCAGCTTAACAACCGTGACTTACAAAATGGCAAACAACTCTGTACAAAGATGACGCATACAGTTTCCAAGTGTATGGGTGACTATACTCTGCCCGATGCAGTAAATACAAGCAATATGAAAGACAAAGTAAAACTGCATGGGCAAAGCAACAGGTTCACTTTAAACCTCCTTCCCTAGCAACTCATACTCCTCTTTCTTTTGCTCCCCCATTGCTTCCTTCAGCTTCCGGGAGCATGAGAAGCCACCCTGTGTAAGCTCAAGTCTTACCTCCTATTTAGGGCTTTTGGACTTCCCCAAATCAAAGTTTCTAAGTTAAAAGTGACATCATTTTTGGCCAGGAGTGCATCTTTAAAGTGCAGTTCCAGTCAATAGCTAACTAAGGCTAAGCCTACTCCCACTCAAAAAAGGGGGGTTTGTGAAAAGAGATTCACAGAAAAGCGGCTACATTATGAACAGACCGTGACACTCAGAAAATTTTCCAAAAATTATGCTTTATTACACAGATATATATATGACATATGGGCATTCGCCCTGGTTTACCATCACCTCAGTATGAGACAATAACACACAGACCTAAAACCATATAAAATGACATCAAGACCGGTCTAAATGTATGTACAACAGAAAAAGTGACCGCAAGAGTCTAATATCTCTGTAGTACACACACATAGGTAAACACTTCCCTAAAGAGGTGTATCCAAAAATTATACCATAGGTATACCATAATATTAAATAATGAATTTACACCAATATCATAATGGTGAGTCCCGGACAGGGAATCCAAAAATTATACTATGGATATACGTATATCACATGTATGAAATGCAGTAAGCACAATAAGCGTAAAGAGGGGAACAGTAAGCCTCAGGCCTGTTTGGAAAAAGACATAAATGTCAAATATATGATGCAATACATTCCTGTGCCGGCACACGTGGTTGGGGCCCGTTCATCTGTTATGTGAACAGCTGTATCATAAAGCTCTTGAATGGAAATAAGCCCCATTTATTCCCAGGATGGGAGAAAAGGTGCAGATTGCAGCACTCTGCTTGAAATGGTGTCTTCACCACTGTGTGTGGACTACACACCACCCTTTGTAGGAAAAGCAAGACATATCCCAAGGAATCTTCTGCCTGTTGAGCTATATGCGGTATGTCCTGTATCCTACACAAAGCACCATAATGTCCCCATCCTGTAGTGAAACAAATAATGTGGGAAGTCACTGACAGAGCTTGCACTCAATAAGATATGTAGGTCATATTGATCACAGAGGACCGTATATCTAATGTCCTGTAACAATCCACTCACCACCTGTGCCGTGGATAAAGGGAATGAAAGAAATGTCCTTCATGGATATTGCCAAACACGGCCACAGAGGCCCAGGAACCACCGCTGACATCCGCCGATATACCGCGGGTTCCAGCCCCCTCTCAGCGCCTGTGCTGCTCACGCTTGCCTCATGGCATGTGAAGATGGCTTCCTCCTTATGGGTCAGCGTGCGTTCCACCTAGTGCGCGTGACCGGAAGTGACGTATCTGACGTATGACCTATAATATATATGCGTCTTTTGGGTTCCTATGGACCTGTTCTTCTAGAGGTTATCTGACTTTGGTAATTTGGTTTGCCATCACCCCAGTTTATACCTATAATATATAAGCCTACTCCCACCCCTACTGTAAAGCTATTCTATCTAACCCAGTAAAGAAAAGATCCCTATATTTATCTATTCTGAAGCCATTCTGGTCCGTTCTCCAGCAACAGCTTTTGTGTGCAGGTGAGAGCCAACACGACCGGAAAATGCCTGGGAGATGATGTCACCCATAGACTTACTATGGGATTCCAATGTCAGCTGTCTCTCCTGCACACAGAAGCCACAGCTGACCACTCAGCCTGGGTCCGTGCCAGACCTTCTTCAGAATAGGTAAATATAGGGATATTTTCATTATAGGGTTAGATAGAATAGGGTTAAGAGTAGGTCTAGCCTGAGTTAGCTATTGACCGGAATTCCACAAATTTTTTGGTCAAGCTGAAATGGGTTAGAACCCCTGTAAAGTTCACTATCTGTCCATGTTGGAGGCTTTACTATCTCAACCAATCCTGCTGACCATTATCTTTGGACAGAAAATGATGGAAAACTCAAAAATTTACATATGTCGCCAGAACAAGAATAAAGGTGAAATCTTTCAAAGGCATCACCTGTTCTGGTGAAACTGTCTGGGAAGACATTTCCCCTCACTTTGTGGAACTTTTCCTATCATTTCCTGTTGTGTCTCCAATACGTAAACGGAGTAGGAAAATCTCCCCAATGTACACAGACCAGACCACAATGCCACTGTCTCTCCATAGGCTGCTAAGGCACCAACGCTTTATAGATAGATATAAGGTAGCTTGTCCAAGGTGGCATATTTTATTTTCCTGCCATGTTGCAGCCTTTTTTTAGCATCACTTTTAAGAATACCAGAAAAGGTCCTTCAATACCCAAACTTTGGCCCAACCCTCTTTAAAGGTTCATATTTACAGATTTATCAATCACAGGTTACGTCTATTAGTCTTGATCTGGAGTTATATATATATATATATATATATATATATATATATATATATATAATATATATATATATATATATATATATATATATCTATATCCCCAATAGAATGATATATAATTTTTTTTCACGCTCACATTTTCACCTCAGGACCTATTTTGTTTATGTATGTACTGGCATTATATAAATCAACATTGTAGCCATGTACCCAACCTGCATCTAAATGTTTCCAATAAAACTTTAAAAAAAGAAAAAACTTCTCCAATCAACAAGTCTACTTTCTTGTAAGTGAGCTGTATTCCATTCACATTCACCAGTGTATAAACATTATTGAAACCAATGTACTTTTCTCTTTTCTTCTTTTTTAGAAGCCTTGCACCATTCCAAGTCCAACGTTTAAGATTGAAAAGTAGAGGTTAAAACAAAAGAGCAATGAACCTATTCTTTCCTCAGTCTTTATAAATATGCCCCCAAATCTTATTTTGCAGCCATCTTTTTGTTCAGAGACGAATCTGGTGTATGTGTGGAAAGGGGGCCAATTAATCACTGGGAACAAGCAGGCCTTGTCCCTCCCATTAATCATCCTGTGTTGGGTGATAGCACCCTCTGATTGTTTGTTTATGTAGCTAGTCAGGCATTCCCAGGGACCTTGGAAGTCTCCCAGGCAAAAGCTTACTTTGTTCAAACCCTTGATTTGTTCTCCTTGTCATAGCAAGGAAACTGTGCGCACTTGACATCTTTATCATGGCCGCATAATTAACCAGAGAGAGGGATTTGAACTCCATGACATGTGGCGGCTGAGGGGGATGCGCTATATTAGGACATACAGATTGTTCTGGAAAAAAATAAAGTTACTTTGCATCTTCCAGAAGTTGACTGTACATCATATCAATCAGTGTTCCGTATCTGTGAGGGCTGACAGGTACAGCTTGGCTCAGCATTTGCAATGTACTTGATCATTCAGCCATGTAACAGCTTCTGTACCAAGAATCACAATATATATCCACTGCTGTGAGGCCCTGTACACATAAATGGGATAACAAAAAAAAAAAAAAAAAAAACTGTCGTACATGAAAAAACCTATATACTCTGAAAGGGTATCCGAGGCCTTGAAATGCCCAAAAAGGAAATACCCTCTGTGGCAGTGTGAGCTTCTCCACTGTGAAAACATAGGAAAATGTGACTCAGGGTATGCAGTTCTGAGTGGAGAATGGGGGTTTTTCATCTTTCTCCTGGTTTTCTAATTCCCGATTTGGGCTGGAGCTTGGAGACTCCAAAGTGCTTTGGGAGGAAACCCAGCATCAGGGTCTTGCCAATAGCCAGCAGTGTGCAAGTGTTCACAGCTTTTACAGTCTAGGATCTGACAACAGTTCAGCGCTCCACCCGAGAGACAGGAGATCTCTGCAGAGGGGTCAGGAGGACCCCAATCCTTCCCAAGGAGTCAGAGAGGCTGCACAGTGCAGCCAGAACATGTATGTCTGCTCAGCACAGGTTCAGATGGTTACAGAGCAGCAAGGAGCTAAAACAGAACAGAAATACAGAGTTTGCACAGGAGCACTGAGGTGCTGTGTTTTATGGTTTGGAGAGCCAAGACAACAGGCTGAGCAGCAGTGCTGCTAAAAAGAGCCATTCATGTTTGGGTTGAAGGTGGAAACCCTTGTGTGGGAAAACTGGTCTTCTGTATGAACTTTTTCCGTTTTATTAATAAAAGTGTGTCAGCAAGACCTTAAAAAGCACTTCTGAAGTTGACTGAACTCCCTGGAAAGCACTACTATTGAGCTAACAACCCCATACTGTCACACCTCTCTTACCTCTATAGCTGGAGTCTACACAAAATACTCACTCTCACAGCCAGTCATCCACTGCTCTGCCACAACACACCCTGTCCAGCACCACCATCTTTTTCTGATGTCATCAGTTGGCCTCTGGTCTCTTCCAGGTTCATGCAGCTTCCCCCCTGATAATGTGCATGCATCATGGCATGACATGACATTAGGAGGCCAGCTGCAAAAGCAGGAATGGACAGCCAGCTCTGATGACAAGACACATGTACAGTACCCAGGGCCTTTTGGGATGAGTGAATTGGGTAAATCAGTAGGTAGCGAGCATAGAACATATAGTATATTGCTAAAAGTATTGGGACACCCCTCCAAATCATTGGATTCAGGTGTTACAATCACCTTCATGGCCACAGGTGTATAAAATCAAGCACCTGGGTATGCAGACTGCTTCTACAAACATTTGTGAAAGAATGGGTCAGGAGCTCAGTGAATTCAAGCGTGGTACCGTGATAGGTTGCCACCTGTGCAATAAGTCCATCCGTGAAATTTCCTTGCTACTAAATATTCCACAGTCAACTGTTAGTGATATTATAACAAAGTGGAAGCAATTGGGAACAACAGCAACACAGCCACAAAGTGGTAGACCATGTAAAATGCTGAAGCACAGAGTGCATAGAAGTCACCAACTCTCAATAGCTAAAGACCTCCAAACTTCATGTGGCCTTCAGATTAGTACAACAACAGTGTGTAGAGAGCTTCATGGAATAGGTTTCCTTGGCGGAGCAGCTGCATCCACACCTTACGTCACCAAGCGCAATGTAAAGTGTCGGATGCAGTGGTGTAAAGCACGCCGTCACTGGACTCTAGAGCAGTGGAGACATGTTCTGTGGAGTGATGAATCACACTTCTCTGTCTGGCAATCTGATGGATGTGTCTGGGTTCGGCGGCTGCCAGGAAAACAGTACTTGCCTGACTGCATTGCACCAAGTGTAAAGTTTGGTGGAGGGGGGATTATGGTGTGGGGTTTTCAGGGGTTGGGCTTGGCACCTTAGTTCCAGTGAAGGGAACTCTTAAGGCGTCAGCATACCAAGACATTTTGGACAATTTCATGCTCCCAAATTTGTGGGAAACAGTTCTTCCTTCCTTCCTTCCAACATGACTGCGCAAGGTCCATAAAGACATGGATGAGACAATAGAAAACCTTTGGGATGAATTAGAGTGGAGAATGCGAGCCAGGCCTTCTTGTCCGACATCAGTGCCTGACCTCACAAATGTGCTTCTGGAAGAATGGTCAAACATTCCAATAGACACACTGCTAAACTTTGTGGACAGCATTCCCAGAAGAGTTGAAGCTGTTATAGCTGCAAAGGGCGGGGCCAACTCAATATTGAACCCTATGGGCTAAGATTGGGATGCCATTAAAGTTCATGTGCGTGTAAAGGCAGGCGTCCCAATACTTTTGGAAATATACTGTATATCTTTCTTCCCTAGTTGAGCAACACGGAAGTGTGGGAATGCTTTCCCTAAAAAAATTTTTTAAAAATAACCTGATTGTGTGTGAGGCGGGAATTAGGAGGGGAGTGAGAGAAAGTGGGTGGAGAGGGTAAAGATCTTCTTTAAGTTGAACTCCAAGCAGATATAAAAGTCACAAATTAGATTTTTTTTATGCAGCAATGGGTGTGTTAATGTAATGTGACTATAATGCGATTTTATGTAAGTTTTTTAACAATTTCCTACAAAGCAAGGAGAGGGAGTGATAGCACTGGGAGCCAACCAAGTATGTTGCATGTAAAAGTGCTGAGTGAGCAAAGAAAAAGTCCTAATATGTCTCCTGCTGCTGCTTCTCTGTCCTATCACAGGTTAGGAGTGGGAAAAGGACACCACTATATGCCACAGCCATGCATTTTTCTGTGTAGCTAGCAGTTTATATGGAGTTCAGCTTTAAAATGTATCTAAAGCCAAAACTCTAATCTGAGAAAAATGCACATTTGGTTCATATTTCTCGCCTTACCACCTGCCCTCTTGACCCTGTCCCCACACAACTCCTATGATCACCCTCCTCCTCCATCTTACGCTCCCTCACTCACATCTTTAATCTCTCCCTCTCTACTGGCACATTGCCCTCCCCTCTGAAGCACGCGCACATCACTCTTATACTTAAAAAACCCTCCCTGGATCCCACCAACCTAAACAACCTTAGACCCATCTCCCTGCTGCCATTTACATCCAAACTCCTTCAGCGCTTAATCACCTGAGTTCCCACCTCACCGACAACAACCTCCTTGATCCCCTACAGTCTGGCTTCCATCCCCTACACTCCACCGAAACCACCCTACTCAAACTCACCAACGACTTGCTAACCGCCAAAGCTAATGGCCACTACTCAGTGCTCCTAGTCCTCGACCTCTCCACAGCTTTCGACAGGCTTGACCACCCCCTCCTCCTCAAAAAACTATAATCTCTTGGCCTCAGAGACTCCGCTCTCTCCTGGCTCTCTTCCTATCTATCACAGCGCTCCTTCAGTGTTACCTATAACGCTGCCACTTCCCCCTGACTCCCCCTCTTTGTTGGGGTCCCTCAAGGTTCTGTCCTCGGCCCCTTCTCTTCTCCATCTACACCTCCTCCGTTGGCCAACTGATACACTCCCACGGCTTCAACTACCATCTCTATGCTGACAACACGCAAATCTATCTCTCTACCCCCCCTCGCCTCACCCCTTCAGTCTCTGCCCGAATCACTAGCCTACTGAATGACATATCAGATTGGATGTCACACCACTTCCTCAAATTAAACCTTTCCAAAACCGAGCTCCTAGTTTTCCCCCCTGCTCGTGCCCCCCCCCGACTTCTCCATCACGACCAAAAATGCCACCCTGCAAGCAAGAGTTCTAGGTGTCATTCTAGACTCCAATCTGACTTTCCAGCCCCAGGTCCAATCGCTGACACAAATTCATGTAGACTCCACCTCCGCAACATCTCCAAAATACGTCCATTCCTAACCCCAGAAACTATTAAGCAACTCATTCACTCCCTTATTATATCTCGTCTTGACTACTGTAACTCCCTCCTCACCGGCTTACCTCATCACAGGCTATCCCTGCTTCAGTCTATCCTGAATTCTGCAGCCAGACTCATCCACCTTACTAACCACTCCGTATCCACCACCCCCCTCTGCCATTCCCTCCACTGGCTTCCGATTGCCCAACACATAAAATTCAACTTACTAACATTACAAAGCTGTTCATAACACTGCCCCAAACTACATCACTGACCTGATATCCATATACCACCCAAAACGTACTCTCCGCTCCTCAAAAGACCTCCTACTCGCTAGTTCCCTGGTCTCCTCCTCCCATGCCTGTCTCCAGGACTTCTCCAGAGCTTCCCCCATCCTCTGGAACTCACTACCCCCAATCCATAAGACTGTCACCTACCCTCCTCACCTTTATATGCACCCTGAAAACCCATATCTCCAGGGAAGCCTACCCCGCCCTCACTTAATTGCCGATCTCCTCCACGCTTCCTACCACTCCATCCCCCACAGCTGTTTCCTCCTGTACCACTATCCCCTCCATCCTAGATTGTAAGCTCCAAGGAGCAGGGCCCTCGAACCCTCATGTATTGCACTGTATTGTTACTGTACTGTCTCCCATTGTAATGTACAGCGCTGAGCAAACTGTTGGCGCTATATAAATACTGTATAATAATAATAAGTCGGTTTACATATCTGTCTTTGTATGGATTGTGGAAAAAGAGCTGAACATCTTTGGGAAACCCACATACATGTGGTAGAATTATACACAACCTATACAATGTCCTCACGAGAACAGAATCCAGAACCAATACTGCAAGAATACAGCCACCGGGCTTCACTCAGTGCTAAAAGGGTCATTGACATTAGCTGTGATTCAATACTATGTTTGGCAATGCAAGCAAACAGAGCAGAACTCAACCCCAAAGCACCCAGGAAAAAGGACAAACCCTTCTAAATTAATAAATGATCTTTCTGGTTTGCCCTATATGCCTTTTTAACTAAGCCAGTGTGTTTTGGGGTCACAAACTGCCCTTACTTCAGGTCTGTTCTTTTATAAGAATTTTTTTGCAGGGGGTCATACCTTAGAAATGCATTGCATTAGTGTACTGAGTACACTGAGAATTTGACAGTCACGGATCACAGAATAAGATCAGGACTAGGGTATTGAAGGGGTGACACACATAGTTGTAAAAGTATTTAAGATAAATTCCGTACCACTTACAATATATTGGCCCAAGCTTTATACTATAACCTATGTGTCAAACCCCAGAGTTCACCAGTTTGAGAATCCAGCACAGCCCTAAGGCATATCCACTCATTCATTTGTTGGTACTCTGAATACAAATTTACCATAGTCTTCCTAGTTCATAGTGTTGACTTTGGCTTAAAAGCTGCCTTTCTGCCAGGCAATTGAGACATATTTTGAGATCATCCTTGACATTTGCCACCATCTACACACCTTTACACTTTGGATCCCCTTTAAACGAGATGGGAGGCACCTGATTTCAAGCTTTAAAATACAGCTGATCACTATCATGGTCTAGTCCTAGGTGTGTCCAGCCCTCCAACTTGGTAGCACTGTCACATAAACTGACAAGACCTGTTTCAGTAGCAGTAAAAGCAAGGAGCCTAAGATACCTTACAGCCTAGGTGCGTATCCTATCTACATTGATTTTCACTACTATAAAATATTTACTCCCCCAACACACCTTTGCCTCTGGGGTTGATGGGTTCACCACTAGCAGCTGGATCCAATGGTTATGTTCTATTGAACAGTAATGATGGCTGCTGAGTAAGTAAATAATGAAATGCAAGCACATCTCTCAGCAAAGGAGTTCAACAAAACCTTCATAAGAAACAGGACAAAAAATAAACACTTCTGTTCTATCAGATCAAATGCCATCTGCTTGGCACAATCCGGGCGTCTAGCAAGTGAAGATAGTGTGCTTTTCAATCACATATGGTTTGTATGGTTTATGCTTCCTAGCAATTACTCCAGCAATAAATCTGAGAATTTGGAGTCAGCCTCTCTTCAATCTGGCCTCTTTCCTGACTTTCACCTTATGCAGCAGAAGGCCTATTACAGACAAAAAAGAAAAATAACTTACACATCAACACTCCCTACGGCATATCGGGGCTTAGAGGCAACTTCGTTTTCATTTGGTTTAACAAACTCAGTTTTGTTTTTTGCCTGGACAGCATCAAAAAGTCGCTGCCAAAATATTTAACAACTTAATTAAAACCACGAGCATAACTTCTCAATGGATTTAGTTATAGTTTTTTGAGGGAATTTAATTTGAAAACAGTTCAGTTACATAAAATAGCAATGCACCCAAACAAAGTAGTACAATCAGTAAGTCAAATCAACAAATACAGTTCATTAACCACGGATATATAGGCAAAGGAAACACTGCAACAGTACTAACATCAGAGGGTCCATCTACTTTTATGTCTATCTCCAGCCAATTTATTTTTTTTGGACAGTGTAGAGACGACTGTTATTATTATTGTCAGGTTTTTATTCCTGTCTGGGAGCCTGTTGGGGAGATATTTCCCCACTGCCCTGTCCCCGAGACACCAGGACATAAAAGGGGGGAGAAAATAACATGGGTGAAAAGAGTCAGTGGGCAGGTCCGTCTCAACAGAGACAAGCCATACTGAAAACAAAATAATAAAAATAATCATTTTTACACATTCTGTTACAAAAGCCATTTAAAGAAAATGTAAAGTGGAACTAAACACTCTCAATCAACATTAGCTA